ATTTTCCCTGCGGTGAAGTAGAAAACCAATGGTTCTGTTGGAGTTTCTGCTCGGTTTGCACCATGTGGATCCTGCTACTAGCCAGTGGGCAGATGCCTATGTTTCAGTTCAGCCTTGGGCAAACAATCAGGTACGCAGCGTCTGCCATTGCACCCGGTACTTTGCAGAAGGCACGGCTGTAGATTGTTCGTAGTGGCTGTCTTCTGCTTTCCTTTCGCCACAGGTCATAGCAAGTGTAGAATCTCAGTGGTTTATTCGGCAACTCATAGTTATAGGGGTCATATACGGGTGATATAGGGGCTATATGGGGATAATGGAAAAGAGAATGGAAACTACTAAATATATAGGGTTTAGGGTTTAGGGTTTAGGGCTATCATGAGCTGATGTGATTCTGTGCATTCGCCTGCCTGGTGCTTTTCCACATGCAGCTGTTTTGCTCTACCAGCCTTAAGGATGCCAGCGGGGTGAGATGCACATGCCAACATAAAGTTAAATTAGGCAGGTGCAAAGAAACCTTAACGTCTGACAAGCAGTCTCACTTGCTCCTGCTGCTCCTGTGACTGATCCGTTCTTTGTTACTATATCCCCCGAAGAAGGAGAAGCAAATGAAAAATAACATTGAAAATCAAATGGAAACTGGGGGAATTTAGGGATTCAAGGGATTCTGTTTAAGTTACTATATTGGGGAAACCATTTTGATTTTCTAAAGGGATTTAAGTACAAAGTCTTTGTTGGTGTCAAGCTAGAAGAGTCCGTTGACTGGAGCTCGATGGCAACAACAGGTCCATGCAGTGCACTAAACCCTACCCTAAACCCTAAACTTTAAACCCTAAACTCTAAACCCTAAACTTTACACCCTAAATTCCAAACCCTAAGCTCTAAACCCTTTAGAATGAGGGGCATAGGAGGGCGGCGCTGCGATTGCTTCAGATGGCTGCCGCCTTGATCTCAGCCAGAGCATGACATGGGAATTTCCCAAACCTAGGGGTACCATTGACTACTATAGG